TATAATATCTCGCGCCCTGACCAGAAAAAAATATTTTTATTACAACAAACTTTTGGAAAATCCATTGTGATAGGGCACGCGCTTTCCAGTTTATTACAATGGTTACTGAGTCGTGATTGTAAGTATCATATATACAACGGCACTCTACATAACAACGTCTGGCCCCACATGATTATATATCTTTCCCAACCGTTGTTAAATGAGTTTTCTGTAGGAGTGAAGGTAAAGAGGTTGAGGATTGACAATGGTCTTGAATTTTGCAATAAAGCTTTTGATGACTATTGTATTGCGTATGGTATTGCAATGCACAAAACTACTGCAGGGACTCCCTAACAAAATGGTTTGGATGGAAGGTTTAATCAAACCATTTTGGTAAGGGTGAGGTGCATGTTTGTAAGTGTAGAATTGAAGAAGGTGTTTTGGACAGAAGTTGTTGCGACTGCAACATACTTGATAAATAGGTGTCCCTCGATAGCCTTGGGAATGAAGACTCCTGAAGAAGTCTGGTTGGGACATCCCATAGTCTCAACAGACTTAAAGTGTTTGGTTGTTTAGTCTATGCTCATATTAGGCAAGACAAGGTCGAACCTAAAGCTCTAACATGTATGTTCCTTGGATACCCTAAAGGAGTCAAAGCTTATAGGTTGCGGTGCCTATAGCCAGGTCACATGAGGTGTACCACAAGTCGAGATGTAGTTTTCGATGAAGCTGATATGACTTTCAATAAAATAGATGACAATAGTCGAAGTTCGAAAATCTCTGAAGAATAGCTAGAACAGGAAGAGATTCCTGTTAGGGATGGCAACGGGACGGAGCGGGGGCGGGTTTAACAATATCGGCACCCGCACCCGCCTCCATGTAACACACTTGCCCCCGCCCCAAACCCAATTGGGGGTAAAAATTTACCGCCCAGACCCGCCCTCAGTGGAGAACGGGTGCACCCGCCCCGCCCCCACCCGCAATTTTTTTTAATTGTAATAAAAATTAATAATTTAATTAAAAAATTAATTATTTTAATAAATTAATAAATTATTTAATTAAAAATTTAATTAATAAATGAATATTAACTTAATTATTTTAATTACAATAAGGGTATTAATAATTTAATTAAAAATATAATTAATAAATAAATATTAAAATAAGTAAAATAAGAGAATTAAACTAAAATGTATTATTCGGGGGCGGGTGCAGGCGGGTCTTAGTGTCTTCCCGCACACGCAGCCATAGTTAATTTTTGGGGCGGGTGCGGGTGGATTCAAGTTTGTTTGCCATCCCTAATTCCTGTTGAGGTGGAGCATAATGATACTGAATTGCATGACCCAGATGAAGTCGAAGAAGAAGCAGAAGTTATTGTCGAAGATGAGGAGACTGATAATGACTACCTGCTAGTAAGAGACAGGTCAAGAAGAGTCATCAAGCTACCTCAAAGACTTGGTTATGCAAATCTCATAACTTATGCCATGAATGATGAGATGAAATCTCTCCATGAAAATAACACTTGAGAGTTGGTCGATAAACCTGCAGCGGCTAGGTTAGTCAGCCGTAAGTGGATCTTAAAGGTTAAGGAAGGAATCAAATGAGTGATGTCAAAATGTTTTAAGGCAAGGTTGGTTGCTAGGGGGTTCACTCAGAAAGAAGGTGTCGACTTCAATGATGAGTTCTCACCTATTGTAAAGCAAATATCAATTAGAATATTGTTAGTCATGGCGAAAAAGTTCGACCTAGAATTTGAACTGATGAATGTGAAGACAACCTTCCTGTATGGTGATCTAGACGAAACAATCCTCACGAGGCATCCTAAAAGGTATGCAAAAAAGGGAAAGGAAAACTATGTGTGCAAGCTGAATAAGTCCTTGTATGACCTGAAACAATCTCGTTGCAATGGAATAGGAGATTCGACAAGTTCATGACATACATTGATTTCACTAGGAGCCAGTTCAACCATTGTGTTTACTTCAGATTTCGACCTGGAAATTCACTTGTTATTTTGTTGCTTTATATGGATGACATCCTCATAGCGAGCAACAATGTCAACAATGTTGAACTTGATAAGGAGTTCAACATGAAGGATTTGGGAGCTGCCTCTAGAATTCTTGGGTTTTACATTCGGAGATATAGAAAGCATTCGAGATTATGCTTATCTCAAGAGACATACCTGAAGAAGATTCTCGACAAGTTTAATATGTCGAATTTAAAGTCTATTCTAACACCGTCTAATCCTTAGTACAAGCTGAGCACGACTCAAAGTCCTAATATTGAAGTCGAAAAAGTCTATATGAATAACATTCCATATGCTAGTATAATAGGTTCTTTGATGTATGTTATGGTTTGTACGAGTTCAGACATAACATACAGAGCGAGCCTTGTAAGCAGGTATATAGCCAGTTCTGAGAAAGCGCACTAGCAAGCATTCAAGTGGATTCTTAGGTACATAAATGGGTCTCTAAACCGAGTCTTGATTTATGGTGGAACCTGTGGTGATGATAGCAAAGTCAAAATCGAAGAATTTGTCGACTCTGTTTATGCAGGTTGTATGGATTCTAGAAAATATATTTCTAGATATGTGTTTACTATATTTGGCACAACAATAAGTTGGAAAACAACACTTCAAAATGTTATTTCCTTATCAACCACTAAAGTAGAGTATATCGCCCTCACTGAAGCTGTGAAAGAAGCATTGTGACTTGAAGGTTTTGTTAAAAAGTCGAAACTTCAAGGTCGAGTTACCTCTGTTAAATGCGATAGTCAAAGCGCAATACACATGTCGAAGAATTCAGGCTATCATGAGCGAATCAAGCACATCGATGTGATGCTGCATTTCGTTAGAGAGATAATCGAGCGTGGAGAAGTCCAAGGGCTAAAGGTTTCGACTGATGACAGTGTTGCTGATATGATCACTAAGACATTGTTAAGTAGCAAGTTTTTCCACTATATGTAGTTGATAAAGCTGCATGATGAAAGTTAGTTTGTTCCCTTGTTATAGAGTTTGTTCTAAGGTGGAGATTTGTGATTTTTGGATCGAACTCTAATGTCGACAAAGGTAGCTTTATGTCGTCGAAGTCTGTTCGAGTATAATGTCGAAATATATTAACTTGTAATTTAAGTTAGTATGTCGAATTGAGCCTTGCTTCTAAGCTCAATTCTTAAGTTAGTTTATATCCTAAGTTAGCTTAATAGTCTATAAATAAACTAATTCTCTCAGGATGTTGAGAGAAGTTAATTGTTGATATTCAGTTGTAATCTTTAAACCTTTTTTGAAAAAATCAATAGTAAAACAATTTTAATCGATTCTTATTCTTCTTTCTTATATATCTTTTGTAAAACTCAATCGAATTTCTTATGTTAGTTCAAAAAACTCAATCTTTTTCTCATAACGACATCGATTCACAAGAATAATCTTTAAAATCTTGAGAGATACATCTTAAAAGAATCTAAAAAGGTGCAACCGAAATTGAAATTTTTCTTAAAGTAATTGATTCCTTTCTCTATGCATTTCGTTTTACATTCATTTTCCAACAAGCTTTTTACCCAATTATCATCATGCAATAACCCTCGCTAAAAGATGAAATCATCATTCTTATTAAATAAAAGAAAATAAAAATATGCCTTAATTCAGATTTGATGCTGTCCCATTTCCATGACCGCTCACAAAACACGACCGTTCACCGCTGTTGAGCATCTATCTAACATTCTAGCATGACACATGTGAAAGTTGAAAAACTAGAAACACACCACAACACAAAGCCAATGCAAAAAAGTCCAAATTCGTTTACCTTTTCAATTTTTTCCTTTCCCATTCATTTTTCTCTTAACCGGAATGAAAGCTCAAATCCACCCCATAGTTAATTAGTTTTGGATAACTATTACTTTGACTATAGCATTTAATTATCATAATTAAATATTAGATTATTGAGATTGGTACGTAACCGATATGCAAAAATAAAAGATTGTCGATATAGAAAGATACCCTATTTGCCACTTCAATTACTCGTATTCATTTGAATTTAATAACAGACTAAGGATTTCAGATCCCACGAAATTTCCACTTTCACTCTCTCTCACCTTATATCAAATTCATTCACTCATTCATGGTGTTTTGATTTCGGAGAGAGATTCTGCTTTTTGCTTCCGCTACTCTCGTAAGTAAATACCATCCTCTTTTTCATTTTCATCATCATTTTTTTTCCTCACTTTTACAAACCCATTATTCACTTGTAAAGTTGTTAATTATATAAAAATCTCTACTTTTTTCTCAAACCACAATCTTTCCCTTCAAAAAACGTGCTTTATGATTTACTCATGAGTGTTTCATGGATTGGACTTGTTGGGTTGGTGTGATACTTGAAAATTTTCACAGTCCTTATTGGATCGATTCTCCATGCTTCATTGATTTTCTTTAACCTCAAGTTTTGACTTTCTTTGGTTTTGGACTTTTTTTTTTGGTTTGATTTTGTGATGGGGTTATGTGACTGAGATAAAATTTTCATCATTGTTTAGAGATTAAAGATTGAAGTTTTCTTCATAGTTGATTTTTTTCTTCTTTGGAAAATGGAAAATTGGTGTTGACTCTATGAAGCTGTGTTTTTTCTGTGGTTAATTAGTCATATGTCATAATAGCTGGATTAGGATTGAGTAACGGTAGCTTTTGGTTTTGTTTGTTTCTTGAAAAAATTCAATTATTCAAGAACTGTGATTGGTTGTTCTAATTGTAAAAAGGGAAGATTTTTAAGAATTTAAGCTGTATCAAAAAGTAGTAGAGAATTGAAATTTTTGAACATACTAGATAGATCTGACTCAAGAAAAGTATAATTTGTTGTTTGAACTTTAAAGTTTCTGATTTATGTATACTATAATTTCTGGGAAGCTTCATGAAGATTAATTTGTAGGTACTTAGAGAGGATATGTTTTAAAGATTGTGCTTCTGCTTTTTATAGCTAAGAAATTGTCCTGGGACGAAGTGGATTAAGCGCAAGAGAGAGTGGTGAAAATCGATCATAACCATGGGATCTTTCAAGGGTCATGCTTTGCCGGGGACGTTGTTTTTTTTAGTTGGGGTGTGGCATATATGGGCTACTATGGTGAGATACATAAGTAATCCTAAGAGGTTTCAAGTTCGGGCGTGGAATCCTGTACCAGGTTTTGATGGGTGGGTGAAGCACTTGGAGCTCTATGTTATTGCAATTGGTTCTCTTATTGATTTGTGCATTGAGTTTTTGTATTCAACTCACCTCAAGATATTTGTTGGGGGTGTTCTTAACCCTTCTCATATGAATGATTTTGAGCACTCGGGGATGCTTCTTATGTTCTTTATCTATGGTGTTGTTGCCTTACTTAGCGAAAACACCAGGTTAGTTTCTTTCTCTCTTACTCTCGTGTTTAACCTGTTTTTGTTGTTTACATTAATTCACCAATTTCTGCGACCTATTTACAATTTTACATACAATAAGTCGTGCTGGTATAGTTTAAGCGATCTTGGTCAATTTGATATGGGCCCTAATGCTGAATAAGATGTGTTCTACAGAGGGTTTTGGTTTTTAATTATAATGATAAAGCAAAAGCTTAATTGCGATTTTGCCCCCCCCCCTGCTTTTAGTGGCTCGCGGAATTGGTCCCTATATTTTAAAATTGTACGCAGTTGGCTCCTCACTCATATTTTTGGACCCGACAGTGGTGATGTGACAACTTTTTTTACGGACGTGTCATAAAACCTGCTTATGTGGAACCATCCAGAAGGTTTACGTCTCGTGCCTTGTCAATTAAAACCTTGCCATAATTATTTTTGCATCCAAAATTCTGAGTGAGGGACCTAAAAACTTGATTTTAAAATTGGGGGACCACTTCCCTGAACTAGTAAAAACTTGATCTGTCGTGCTTTTGATAACAGTAGAAACCCACAAATAATGTAGTAAAACTTCGTGACGCCTTTGTGGTTATTTCCACGATTATTTTTATTTTAAAGAAGTGGCTATTTTTGTGCTCAGTAATTGATCGCGTTTCCTTCTGCGCGTCTACTAGATATGTTAGTCTGTGAGCACCTTAGTATCCTCTGTTAGTCTGAATAAGAAGGCAAGTCTTGTCTCATTAGTCGAGACTCTTGCGAAGATGTACACATTCTTCAAACACACTCCATAATTCGGTTCTAATATGTTTTATTTAGCTCATTCTGTTCAACATCTTCAAATCTATACTCAAGTCTATGCATTCTAAAACTGTATTGCATTTGTTACAGTCCTTCATTTTTTTAACTTTCAATTTATTCTCGAATATGCATTTTACTTTTGCGAAACTCTATCTCGCTGACCATATTTCCCTCTGATATTTTTTTCTTGCATAGATTTCTTCCATTGCCAGAAGGTATTCTATGTTTCATAGCAGCCATGGCATTTTCCGCCGAGTATCTTCTATTCTACTTCCATTCAACATCGCACAAAGGTCTTGAGGGCTATTACCACACCCTCCTAGTCTTCCAAGTAGGACTATGCGTTTTATCTTCAATCGCCGGTGCTCTTATGCCAAACAACTTTCCAGTCGACTTATGCAACGGAATCGCCATAGCCCTACAAGGCATTTGGTTCTATCAAACTGCATTTGTTCTCTATGGTCCCATGCTGCCAGATGGTTGTAAGATTAAGGATAACCATATCTCATGTAACTCAGTTGACAGCGAGGTTCGCGGCGAATTGCTTGCTAACTTTCAGTTTTTTGTTGCCATCCTCGCGGTTCTTGTTGCATCGGTAATAGCGTATGGATATGCTGCATCGAGATATGGAAATTCTGAAGTTAATAGTTTGCATACTGTTCAGAATGAATTAGATCAAATCTGAAGTAGGGTATGCTATTTTTGTTTCTCTCTTTAGTAACACCTGAGAATGTTGTTGGCACTTAGTTTGTTATAGAACATGTTTGTATATTGGAGTGAAAAGGTGAAAAAGAAAACATTATACATTTTTGTTGTGCAATGAGATTTAGGAAATGGTGTAGAAGGAATAGAAAATTTATTCTTTGATGTGGCATATATTTAAAGAAGCTAAAGTTTCATTTAGCAACTTTTTTATCCCTGTGAAACATTGTCATGCTTGCTTGCCATTCTTTGGAGGCCTTTTCTGTTGATGCTGAATGTAACAAATACGATTCAAATAAAGGTAGAAAGAATTTCTCTGAATGTGTCAGAAAAATTAATGAGTCTACATTTGGATGAGTGGTGAATTATGGATAATGGCATTGGTTAGAAATTTCACATAAGTACTAAGGGTGAAATAGACTTTTCAATGACAGTATGAGTCCAATTTTCTTGTAGAAACCTAATTTCCTCCTCATTCCTTCACTTGGAAATCAGAAAAATTACCGGAGAATGGAGAGGAGGAGGGAGGCAAGTGAGGAAGATGGAAAATGGAAAAGAAGTAATCTTGATCAATTGTGAAATAATCATGATGCATGTGCATTCTTGCTTGGGAAATCTTGGAGATAAAGCAACTTATGAAGCATTCAAGCACCAAGAGCTTACCATCATATCATTATCATCTTTATCATCTTCATCAAATGTAGAAGTTGTGATCAAAAGATGGAAACAAGATTGGATAAATCTCATTGCATGTGAAGAATCCTTGAGGAATTGAAAGAAAATCATCAAGCATTTTCATCACCTCATCTATGCATCTCAAAAGTCAGAAGTTGCAGGTTTGATTAAGGAGGGGTTCTAGCTTAGCTTTAACCTTGGGGTGTTAACATGCATAATATGAGAATTAGGTTTTTGATTCTTGATTCCTTGCATTGATGTGTTGAAATTGAACGATGAACATGAATGTCATGACTTCCTAATTGCATGCATGATTTTGGTATACCATGAATGTTGTGATCATATTTGGATTCAGTTTGTATTGTTTTGTTTGTTGGATTTTTGGGTTATACAAGAAATTAGGAAGTCATAATTTACCCACGAAAAATTAGAGATTCCCACAACTAGTGGGTAAAAACCTAGAAAATGATAAGCAGACAACATGTTGCCTGGGCAGGCTTGCACGGGGCAACCATGTTTGCCTCTAGTTTTCGCACTAGAAAGGGTTTCTAAGGTGCAACACGACCGTGTAGGGTAGTACGTGGCACCCGTGTTAACCCTAATTAAAGGGAAACTTTTCGATTCTTTTCAACGGAGTCGTAACAGTCACCACGCCTTGTTCTAATGGATCGAATTAGAGTGTTATAACATGTGGGTTCTAGTTTAGGAGTTAAATTAGGAATTTAACACTAACTAGGAAATCCATGATAGGGAAATAGGACTTGTTCATGAATGCATTATGTTTGACTTATTTGATTGTGAATGTTGTATGTTATGTGAGTATTTGAGCATATGAATCTCCGTTGATGCATGATAATAATGTGAATTGCATGATGGATCGAACATGTTGCCACCATACCAATGTGTATGAACAATTGAACTTGTCATTCAAGGAAACTCTATGTTTAAAAAATGTTTGGAACTAGGGTTAGAACATCGTAATTGATCAACTTTGTTTGTTGTTCTTATTCTTGCATGTTATGAACATATGTTTGAGTTGTCTTGCGAATAATGCTTTAAAACTTTCCCAGTTTCTTGTGCAATGTATGATACAGTGAATAGTGAATGGTAATAAGAATGTACATGCACTAAGACTTGTATGCAAGATCGAGAATGGTCGTGTAAGCCGAAATTCTCATTACTCGTATGTAATATTGTAATGGTTTGCATTATGGTCGTGTGTGATGTCGATCCTTTGATCCTTTGATTGACGGTATTGTTAGAGTAAATCTCTAATGGTCTCCCAATTAAGATAGTATTGAAATCATAATAATGTGTTAATGGTTACTTACCTAGAGGTGATAATTGGTAAGTGAGGAAAATCATATGATGAGTGTATAATCCGACGGTAAGAAAGTCCCATATGTGGACGGAGACTTGTGAAGGGTATGAATACTAAATCTTACCTAAAAGGTGGTTCGAAATATAGGATACTTATGAATCTCCTTAGTTAATTCTTTGAGGATAAGGAAACTCAATAGTAGGACGGACGAGAGACTTTCTCAGTAGAATCCTTGAAGGTAATAAGTCTTAAAAGTAGGATATTAAGAAACCTCCTTAGTTAATTCCTTGAGGATAATGAAACCTAACAGTATGGCTAACGGAAGACTTCCTCAGTCTTTTTCATTGAGGGTGAAAAATTAGTTGTACGTCCAGGTCGTTCTAATCACTAGTTGGGCCAGAGGAACGTCGAGATGAAACAACACAATTATGCATCTGTAACTCTTATTGTTCTACTTGGCAAGGGGGATTAGTATGTCAACCTTCACATGTGTTATGAAGTTGTATATGCCTCATATTTTATTTTCCTTATCGGAGTATGTGAGTGTAGTACTAGTGAACCGATTTATGGATAATGAACTCTTTAGAGGTGAGTGGACTCTTAGGGTAGGAGAACTCCACTGAGATTTAGTATCTCACCACATTCTCGTTGTTTATTTTCAGATAAGCAGGTATTGGCCGAAGGAACAACTGTAACATCCTAAAAAACCCACTCACAAATATATAGAATTATATGTAAATTCAAATATTCAAACATAAGGTGTCACACGCACGCGCGCGCGCACACACATCTTTATTAGATTCATCACAACGTAATTAACAATTTAAAATAACTTTAGCAACCTCGTAAAATAATTCAAACATATCATAATTAAAAATCATCTCAAATGGAGCAAATAATGCTCAAAACAAAATACTCTCAACTCGAAAAAAAATAGAAACATTTTCCCCAAGTGTTACACTATCAAAGCAACACGACTAATAACTGAAAACAAAAAGGATAAACGAAGAGGCTAAATACGCCCTCCACCAAGCCAACAACTACTAAAGCTCATCTACCCAATCTTTTGTACTCCAAAAGAGCACATTCGCAACAACAAATAGAAAGGGGTGAGAATACATTCATATATAGATAATATGCATAAACAACAAGGATAGATAAGTAACATGTTATCAGTCTCACAATTCATATCAAATACTAGAACAACATTGAAAACATAAACTCGTACAAAACAACTTGTCATACCCCAAATTTTACCCTTGGATTATTATGTTCATTTCACATTTCATCTCATTTTGCATTGCATTTTATTTAACCACTAATCGGTTTGTCCAGTCTGTTGGTTTTTGCAGAAAAATCACACTGTGTGCGATTTAATTTATGAAGGGCAAAAAGGACATTAATTTGCAGTCTGCTGACGATTTATGAAGCAAGTCGTCATCACAAATTCCTCCAATGATTAGGGTTTCAATATTCGGGCCATGTGATTTTATTTGAGAATGAGCTGAATTTCACGACAATAGGGTCAAATTGAATCCGGGTAAAATTGGTGCGAGAATTTGCTTTGAGGAATTTATTCTGACAGACACACGTTTTTCTGCTTTCTGCTAGTTACCAGTCGATTTTAAAGGAACATTGGAATTTCGGTTCGCGTGAATTTATAATGAATATCTGTGGGTTTGATCATGATTGTCAATCGAGTTGATTCAGGTTACAGAGTTAGATTATTCGAGTTACAGAGTCGATTTTAAAGGAACATTGGAATTTCGGTTCGCGTGAATTTATAATGAATATCTGTGGGTTTGATCATGATTGTCAGTCGAGTTGATTCAGGTTACAGAGTTAGATTATTCGAGATACAATTTGAATTTTCAATGCGGAGGACAGTTCGTTTCGCCGTTTAATTGGGTCTCTGTTTATCCGTACAAAGCCATAGTCGCCGATTTTGGTATCCGGTACGATCTAATTTGCAAAGGGATTTGATTGAACTCAGGAATTACGTCGGAGGAAATTTAATTCTAAGTTGCGCGAGATGTTTAACTGTTGAATTCGGAGGTTGAAATGTCCAGGTCCATTTGGATGAATTTAATCAGATAAAGTTAGTCGGGTGAATTTACTCAGAGGAATTTAATCGGAAAATAGAAGATTATTTTTTATTGAATTTATTTTCAATCTTTACACAATTTTTCGATTACATTTATTCAAGGTACAAATTAAATCCTCAAAATTCCTAATTATGTTCCTAAAAGTCCTAATCGTTTTCGTGTCCAATCCTTCGCTTCGACTTTTTCGGACCCGCAAAAGCCGACAACAGATGAAAACAATTGTTAAATTGTTAGAATTAGTCAAAAATAGTTTTTGTTTGTGATTTCGATACTCTCAGTTAAATTTCATCATCAGGTACGTCGGGAGGAGCAACAAATAAATGCCGCCGCGTCCCCCCACTTTTAAATTCTGACCCTGGCACGATTCGGAAATATCCGTTCGAGTTTGTTTCCGAGAGGGAGAAAAAGTGATTTTTGGAAAAGCGCTTTTGAGAAAAAGTGATTATTTAAAAAAGTGATTTTTCTTATTCAATGCCAAACAGGACTTAAAAAAATCCACGGATATCCAAATCCATTTCAGCAACTACAGCATCTCGCAAGTTCTAACAACCAAACAGGATCAAAACCAATTTTTCCAGCAAAACGCAAGCAGCATCAACTTTTCCAAAATTTCAACTAAACCAAAACAAATTAAACAAAATTTTCATTCCAAAGCCAAATTCGCAACAATCAAAAACAACAAATCCGGAAGATTAATTCAAAGAAATAAACAAATCAGCCATAAAAATTGCAACAATAACATGTAACTCAGGCCCACGAAATTCATCAATATAAGAATGCATGCGAAGAACAGAAGTGGAGGGGGGATCCGCGAAGGCATCATAAAGGAGGAGAACAAGATACAAAGCACCATTGTTCATCACCGCAGAACAACATCAAATT